TGCTCATATCCCCTCTCAGCCCCATGGTGTCACGCTCATACCCCGGCTCTTCTCTCCGAGTCCACGTGCGGACACGCTGCTGCCCTCAACACATTACAGCCCGGGTGTTTTTCCAGCCGCTCTGACATAACAAAATTTCCAAGCCCTTTGCCCTCCCCAATGCATTATCTGCCACCAGGGACAGTTGGTCTGAATGAAGCAAGCCCCAGCCAGCTCTCTAAGGTCCAGGACATGCTGTCCATGGAAAAACAACACAGCAGAGAAACAAAAAGTGAGAGACTACCTGGCTGCTGTTTATAGGCTTCTCAGAAAAAGTCAGCAGTCAACAGCCAAACTTGAACATGCACGTCACTCCTTCGCTTATGGAAGGCGAGCATGCTGAATGCCTGGCCTCCTTTCAGCCCAGCAGCCCCATCTCTGCATTTGAAACCGTAACACTGGAATAAGGAGCAGAGCTCAAGTTGGTGCCCGCTGGAGTCAATTGGAGATGCAGGTGCCAGAGGCTTTTTCAGATACAGAACAGTGATTCTTTGTACCTTTTTTTTAGTGTGGGTTGCTGGACTCCACCCTCAGTCACACACAAAACAATTTCTGGATGGATATTTCTACTAAGGATCTGAGAGTGCCTCCTAATTAGCGAGTTTCCCAGTACTCGCGTCATATGGATAAATAACTTTTCTGCCTCAGGAAGTGCTAAGACTCACTCAAGGCCTCTCCAGTAATCAGCTACAGAGTCAGGAAAAGTGACGTTGTAGCAGGAAGGATGCAGAGGACCAGCAATGAGTTATGCCAGCCCTATTTCTCCATCTGTCTGTTGCAACCCTATAATGTGCTTTAGTTTGTTTCCATTCCTCCCTCCACTCCTTTCCAGGAAACTATAGGCCACTTTCCCCTTGATTTTCTCTGTCTGTCAGCTCATGAGCACAAGAAGAGTCACACGACATGCAGTGGTGCAAGCAGGGAGAGAGCTGGCTTCCCCAGCAGTTCCTTGTCTCTCCTGTGTTTCACTCCTATTTTACCTAACAATTTGGCTCACAGAGATGTGAACGCTGCCCTCCGCCCCTGCTGGCCAGAGCCCTGCTGGATGTTGTTCTGCGCTGCAGGATGCTTGGATAGCAAGCTGGGGCTCAGCGAGACGCTGGCTAAGGCATGCACACTCCATAGCGCAGGACAGGGGAGTTGATGAAAGCTCTCTGCAGCAGAGTCTCCAAGGGCGAAGGGTTTCATCCAGCCTTAGCTATGCAGGAGACCGAGCACTATCAACGCTTTGAGTCAGCCTGACCCCAAACCATTGAAAAAATGGTGCTTGGGTAGGGAATGTGGTGAGAGCTGGAAAGGTGCTCCAGCTGTGGCTGGAGGAAGACCTGCAGAGTTGGCAGAGAGATCAAAGCTCAGCCCTGTGAAATGCTGTGCAACTGGGTAGCTACAAACCCAGCAGTATAGGAATATCAGACCAGAAAAGCCACCAAGTACCATCTCTGTAGCTGCATGAAAACACACGCAGTGTAAGCCAGAATATTCTTCACAACATCTATTTAGATTGGATTGGATTTAGATCTAGAGATTTAGAAATCTGGTGATTTAGATTGAATATAAGGAAGAAGTTTTTGTTTTTTTTTAAAGGACAGTGAGGCACTGGCACAGGCTGCCCAGAGAGGTGGTGGTGCCCCGTCCCTGCAGGCAACCAAGGTCAGGCTGGACGGGCTCTGAGCTCCTAGTGGAGCTGTGGCTGCCCCTGTTCATTGCAGGGGGGTTGGAGCAGATGGCCTTTAAGGTCCCTTCCAACTCAAACAATTTTGATTCTATTTCTATTTTTCACACATCGCACAGCAGAGCAAGCTGGAACAAAACTAAGACCTATGGGATAAGGGACTGAGAGCCACAAAAGCACTGATGTCCCAGAAGGAACAAGCAAGGGAAGCCAAGGAACTTCTGGGATTGCAGTCTCTGCCGTAGCTGGAAATTCTTCCTTGAGTAAGCCATGCCAGTCACTGCCCTTGGTTTGCATTGAAATCAGTGGGAGCTGAGCATAGCTCATTCTTTAAAAGCAATGTCTCTGAATGACAAGAAAGCACAGCATGGCAATTGCTGAACTGAATGAATAATGGGTTCCATAGGTGCTGTCAGAAGGGGAGAAGGAAGATCCCAGCTGTCTCCAAACAACTTTCTCTGCACACTGGCAGATCCTTGGTATTTCTCCCAGATGGGGAGTGCAGGTCCAAGCCAAGTGCCCATGGTACAGCATACCCAGGCTTACATAATCCTAGGGGCCCAGGGTAATAATTAACACTGGCTCATTGCCATTGACTTTATGCTTGAGTCACCTGGCTGTTTGGATCAAACGTACAGCAGCCATTTAGACGAGAAGACTCCCAGTAAGAGGATTTAGGTAAAAACAACCCCAAGGGAGGTTATGGAGCAGGGGCTGTTGCAAACATTTAATGTTACCAGAGGAGACGGACACTTTTTAGGCAGATTTGCCTGGGTCAGTCCCAAGCGCAACACACTGGCAAGCAAGCTCTCCCTCTTGCTATTTCCCTCTCCTTGGCACCTTTTCTAAGAGTGGACATTATCAATGCAGCCTGATTTTATCTCATGCCCCGTCTTTACCTTTCTTTGCTTATCTGATGTCTCACTTATGTGTCCTATCACTTTTAGCCTTCTGTAACCTGCTGTGTGCTACTGATATTTGGTCTGTGCCACTGTCTGGGGCAAAGGAGATTTGGGATGTCTTGGTTCTGTTCCCATTTCCCTCTGCTTTGCTTCATGGTCTCAGACATATCACTTCACTGCCCTCTGTTTAGCCAAAGGCCAAAGAAATCAGGTCACCTTACAGAAAGGTCACTTTACTCTCATTCCTTACACTTCTTACCTTCAGTGTGACCTTCTCAGACGATGGCTGCTCATAACACCGTTCCTCCACTGCTAGCTCTGAGTCTATAAACAGCCAAAAATTGCCAGTAAAAGCATTCAGAATTACACAGAGCACCCACAAGTGTTAGGAACCGCCTTTCAGTCACTGCATAAAAGCTATAACTCTGCACGTGCCCATTCATGCCTCCAGTTACAGATGCCTTAAGTCAGTGAGACTTAGCCATATGCATAATGGTGCCATGCTGTGCTTTACCATTCGGAGTTGCAAAAGCAAAGACATAACAAACCTTTCTACAGTTGTGGCACCAATGCACTCTAAATATTTATTTATCTTCAGGTGTGTAGGCAGTAATCAAGCTTAAAGCAATGCCATTTTTTTCATGAGTCAGCAAAACCCACAGCTAGGCCCAGGCAGGCCAGTAACTCCAAGTAAACTTCGTCTTTTTTGAAATTTTAGTTTTTTTTTTTGTGACAAACCTCTGAAAACATCATTAACTTTCATGAAGAACTAACTCTCACAGAAAAAACACCCTTCTCTTCTGAGCAAAATGTTGAAACTTTTGCTTAAATTTTCCTACAGGTAAGCCTTTAAAACTAGGGAAAGAAAACCAACAAACCACCACAAACTATACTCAGAAATTGTACTTAGAACAGAAGAGGGAAAAAAAAAAAAGAAGAAAGAAAGAAAAAGGAAGTGTTTCATGGACAGTATTCCAGGCTAAAACATAGCTTAGGTCTTAAGATTTCTACACTGCTGTGCTCCAGCAGTGGGCATTTTGTGCTACTCCACTTATGCTCTAAGCATTGCCTCTTGCAAAGAACGACTTCTGCCCTAAAGGCCTTGCAGGGTGAGTTGCCCAACATTACAGCAATATCAGAACTCCAGAGGAGATGGGGAGAAGACTGGTTAAAAGAAAGCAACTATTTTAATGCATTCTGTTGGTAGGGTGAGAACAGAAGGGAATTGGTGATCCTCTTGGCACAGGTTTGCTAATTAAAGCAAGTAAGCAGTTAGAACACTTAAAACAGCTCTCCTTGGAAGTCTCGTCTTCAGGCTACATCTCAGGAGGTAAAAACACAATAGAGTGACCAGAGCTTGCTTTGCCACATCCCTCAGTTCTCTTGCTGGGCTCCTAGGGGTGCTCCAGGAGAAATAATCAAGATCTGGAGATCCCTGGCAGATCAGCTGGCATCTTGGCGGCTGTACTTCAGGGAGACACTTTCATCCTCAAATGCCCGTCAGTCTAAGAGTAAGCCTTGCTGGGAGATCTGGACCTGCTGCACTATTGCTCCCATGGATACTCAGATAACTTTACTGATTTCTTCTTCAAGTGAAGACTGAACACAGTACAAAGATGTCCCAGCTTGCAAACCACAAGAATCTCAATGTTGTGCCCGTGTTGTTCTGCACAGGAAGCAATGGTTGTTGCAGGACAGGGCATCTTCTCCTCAGTCTGAGGCATGCTCCATACTGCAGGTCCCAACACCACTCTTCCAGACGTAGGATTCACAGCAAAGCCAACCAAAGCGCCCTGGCACCTTTGCTGTGCCGATCTGCTCTTTCACAATGCAATCCTGTGACTGCTGGTCTTACTGCATGCTCCTTCCATCTAAGGATTATTCATAAATCAAGTCTCACAGTGTCACCGTGATGCATTCAATGTCACCATTTTACAAGAAAGGGAACTGAGGCACATGGCAATAGAGCCCTTTGCCCTGGGTCACACAGTGAGTCACCATCCCAGCCTCAAACAGACTGAAGCCCTCCTCCTTGACGCTAGCCACTAGAGCTTGAATTTCCTCAAAACCTCAAAACCTGCTTGCTCTAATTTATTAACCGCAGTCTGGCTGCAGCTGCAGACCTGCTCCACAGCCAGCAGAAACCATAGACGGCATTTGGGTCCCAGCGCTGCCAGGCGAGGTGTGAGGGCTCCGGCGAGACAGCTCGTGCCTCCCAGGAACTTCGGGATGAGAAAAACTGAAGGCAACTCGAGGTGCGCTCCGCCACCTCTCTGTTACCAGCACCTGAAAGGCTACATCCAGGTGAATCAAAATTTCCAGCACTAACATCTTGATTACGGAGCTGGTGACAAAGGAAATGGATGAATAATCATTTCAAAAAGGGATTTAAAATTTCCATTTTCATTTTATTGTCAAAGTATTTTTTATGAAGAACAAAAGAAAATATACAGAATTGTAACTTATGTACACTGGCTTTATAGGTATTTTTGTTTCCAATTTACACAAATTTTGATATGTTATTAAAAGATATTTTATATAGATATGCATCTATGTACAGTTTTATTTACATACATTCATAGGATGTGATATAAACCAGTCAATAGATGATAGTTCATTTATATTAATTTCTAGAGGACAAAAGGAATGCATTCGCCTTTGCTAGACCTGCTGTTCCTGCAGTGCGGGCTCCCGCTCTGCCTGGCACTAGGATCGCAGCTTTCTATTTCCCATTTTGCCAACAAAAAGACAAACAGATGCCGTCTGCGAATGGAAAGGAAATGCAACATCCATTAAAAAATTGCTCCTAATTACTGAATTCTATTTTCTTCTATAGCTTCTTACAATTGCCAGAGTTCAAAAGGAAAAATGAAACAAGAAGAAACACAATCACTTGCCTGCTACAATCTGATCATTTGCTTAAATTCCCTTCTTAGCCAACTACCATACAAACTGATTTCTTTTGGCTGTTCTCACCCATTCACCCACCCCAGCTGTGTGGAGCTCTGACATGGCTGTTGGTAAGGAAAAGTTCAGCGCTGAAGCTCACCCTGGGACAGAAGACCTCCTTGTGTTTGCTCACCTGGTTGGCACCCAGTTTGGGTACTGGGGAAATGGAGCCTCAGCCCCAGCTAGTGAGGCATCAGGCTGAGTGGGCAGTGAGTTCTCAGTGCTCGGCAGGTGCAGAGCACAGTCGTTTGCAAGCAGCCTCCTGCTGCCTTACATATTAGACAACAGCTCTTCTGCTAAAGGCGGTGGATGCTTCAAGGCGAAGGAAAGCAGTTTCCTTCGATTTGTGGGCATCCTTTCACCCTCAATGGTAGCACAGGACAGGAAAAACATGAGCATGGGATGCAGTGAGTCACACCAAAAGGCCTCTGCGCCAAACCATTTCATCCAGCCTGAGCTTTGGGTTTGTTTGGGGTACATCATAGCTTAAATATATATATATATATATATGTATGTATGTATGTATATACATAAATATTTATATATAGCCCTAACCAAGGAAAAGGTAAATGCAAGCTGGAGAAATGAGAGCGGTGCAGAGGCACGTTCCAGTACTCGCATGTCTCGCCTCCCCCTCTCCCTGACTCCCACTGTTCCTCCTCCTATGGCCGGCCCCTACAAATCCTTGGCTCGGGCGACCCAAAAACAAAGGAGTTGTTTTCATTTCAAAAGGAATTTGCTGTTTCCAAACTGGACAAATAGAGCAGCTTAATAAAAACTCACAATGAATGGCCTGTACATGAGCAAAGCCCTCAGGAATGCCAGGGCTATAATTAACTAGCAGCAAGCAACTCTTACATTTTCCTGTGCAGCAGAAAACAGCTAAAAATAAAACACTGTAATTTCCAAAAGAAGCAGCAGCAAAGAAGGGAAAGATAGAGAGAAAGGAAAAAAAGCATCCTTGAAAAAAAAAAAAAAAAAGGAGAAGAAAAAAAAAAGGAAAAACATCCCCCTCCCCTGACCCCAAAATATCTTCATTCTCAAATCATCTTTACAGGACACGGGATACTCGGACACGGTGGTATCAAGTAACAGCATTGACTGTTCTGTGAAGACAAATAAATTATCACTAGAAATGTAGTGAGCAAAGTGCTGTCATCGGCTGCTGTGGGACGGCTGCGGGAGGGGAGGTGGGAGCAGTCAGTTCACGGAGCGCACGGAGCGGCTGCTTCGCGGGAACCGATGCACCTTGACGTGTTTGGACAAGTGGTCGCTTCGAGCAAATTTCTTCTCGCAGACGGGACACTGGTAGGGTTTCACCCCTGAGTGAGAGCGCCGATGCCGAGACAGCTCATCTGACCTGGAGAACCTGCAAGAGAGGAGAAGGCTTTTGAGACACGTGAAGAAATATGGCCTCAAAACATCCGCTGGGGTCACTGGGAGATTCTTCTTGTGGAAAAGCCGAAATAAGCAAATTGAAAGGGACAGGACACACAACAGAACCACTCTGGTCCCAACCAGTGGCCAGCAGCAGCGATGGAAACACACAATTAACCCACATAAAATCTGAACTTGGTGCAATGCATGGAGGCAATATTTGTTTGTAGAACACTTGCACAAAGCCCAATAATAAGGGTAAATAATATGGGTACAGCTCAACTGAGACAGCTCTGCTCCTTATCCCTCTGCGAGTCCCCTTCAAAGACAGTCCCTCAGTCTCTCTCTTGGAAATCCAAGCACAGATCCTTCTCAGGCGGTGGGAAGAACCAGCATCCCTCAGGTGAGCTCTGCTCCAAACTCCATCACCAGCATCACAGCAGATGCATGCTGAGATGGGCCCCAGCTAATAGCCAGACACAGTTACACAGAAGCTATGCAGTTTATCAGATCCAGCCAAAAACTGGACTTTGTACATGCTCCTGCTGGCTAAATAAAGAAGACTTAGTATGTCAGTACCAGAGATGGTCAGTGTTATTGCAGTTGAAATCCAGGTGGGCCCCAATGACCGTTAGCATCGATACTTCAGGAGCAAACTGAAGTCAAGATGGAGACTCTAATCCCCAAATTTACCTCCCAGAGTCATTTTAATTTTAGATGTTTCCCAATTTTCATCTGAACAGAAACATCCCCAATCAGCCATTGTGAATCCCACATTAGGCATTAATGAACTCAACTCAGCCAATCCTTTGGTCTCAGCAGCTGGCTCTTCGTCCAGACTGGACATGACTGGGAACCATAGGGTTAATTAACAATGTCACACTAAAACAGCCTTGTCCAAATGGGTACAAAAAATTTGCTGCTTGACAAAGGGCAATTAAGATTTTTGTTGCCAGAACAGTAACAAAGAGCAGTACAGAAAGCGAGCTTGCAAGAAATGGTATCAGCTGTCTATTTACAATAAATAAATGAAGTCATGGGCACTAGTGGAATAAATGGGGGAAAGAACATGTAGAAAAAATGTGCCCTTCTGAAGCAAAATATCACATCATCAAGCGGGTGGGTACACTGTTTTTATGAAAGGGGAAAAACATGACTGCTGGGCTCCTATGAATAAGTCCTTCATGCAAAGAAAATAAGTTTCCACATAAAGGTTTTAATTAGCAGAGATCTCTTGCCATGAGCTGCAGAATGAGGTGCGGGCACTGGGAAAGGTTCCTTCCATTCCCACAGCACTTCAGACTAGCGCTGCTGCTCAGAGAGAGCCCTGTGAATGAAGATATTCCCCTGAGTGAGGCATAGAAAGGATGCATCCATCCAGGGGTTTTTCTGTGGGAAAATCCTTCATCTATTCTCTTGCTTTCTTTGCCTTGCCCTTGCTTTGATGTCCTCAAAGAGTCACAGGCGCCAAGAAGAGCAGCAGGCAGATGCTCTAATGGAGCCACCAATTCATTTCTTGCTGTCTCTGTGGGACTCGGCTAGGCAAGGAAGGAACCAGTTGCCCATGGTGGCAAGCACATCCAGGAAAAGAGGGAGCAGAGGGAGGAAATCTCCTTTGCATAGAGCTGTCCTCTTATATACCAACTTATCACCCTGAGGAGGAGTGAAACCAGATGTGACTGTGCTGCCTTGTCCCATGTCCTTGGCTGTTAAGGTCACCATCTGCAACACACACAGCTAATCCTGACAAGAGCTTCACAAGCACATTTCAGTGGGAAATGCACAGATAGTGAGGGAGAAATAGGTGCACAGAGGGAACAAGCGGCTCTGCTCCAACACAGGGAGCTCAGATGAGTTCATCCGATAAAAATACTCGCTGCTTCATAACGATGTCCTTAGCTGAGAAGGCAGGAATGTTGCAATACTGTTCTCCAGCAGTCATGGAAAGATCAACTTACGGAGCCCACAGAAATAAACGTCAAGCTGTCAGTGTGTTTACGAAAAAACAACGCAAAGGTTAGCACAAGGAAGCTGGGAGATCTGGTGGCCTGGCTCCACAGTGACGCGATATTTGCAGCACATTCTGGCACTGAAACCATCCCCAAAGATGCTGCACACAATCCCCGATGGAAAGCCAAATTCAAATGAAAACAAGGCACCCCCAAGGAAGACCTCAACTAGCCCAGCTTACTGCTTTTTGCAGGATTCCTCCTTCGAAAGAAAGGTAGAGGGAACTGGGCAATCCCACAGAAACTGGAAGTCTCCTTCATCCCTCTCTCTGGTGGTTACCTGTAACCACATCTCCCTTGGAGACCAATCTTGGAGCTCTGCTATGCATGGGACTTCCAGCCATGCAAGGACCCATGGCGCACAGGACATCAAGGTCAGTAGATTCAGTGGGGACTCCATGGTCCCAGCCATGGCCACCAGCCCCAAGGCTGCCACTGGTTGTGCCTCTGCCCTCTGGTGCAGAGTAGGCTCTGGATGCATCCTGAGCTGCTCCCAGCCCCTAAATCCTCACAAACAGGATGTCTCATGCAGAGTGGGTTGTGGAAAATGCTTCCAGATGAAGGATGCGCAGGACATTTGAACAGTATCGCCTAATCCCACAGCTTTTCATGCTGCCCAGGGGAAGGACAGCGAGAGCTCTCCAGCTCCTGACATGGCAGAGCTGCTGGGCCATCCCGGCATGCTGATGGAGCCACCTCAGGAGCAGAGAACCAGAGGCTGCCAAAGGCACAGGACACGTATCAGCACATGAGTACAGAGGAGTATGGAAAACGGTGGGTCACCTCACCACCTCCTCCACTCGGCCAAGCACACCCAGTGCCAAGATTCAGCCTCCTCGTTGGCTTTCCCACTGACTCAGGGGCTGAGGAAGGGTCTGCAGTGCACACAGCCCTACCCTGGTGTATGCAGCTTCCTCACAGCAGCATCGCCCAGCAAGCAGGGTGAGATTCAGTCCCCCCCATGTAGCAATTTTGTTTGTTGCATTTTTGAAATGACCATCTTCAGTGAGCTCACATCTCAAGTGTCTTCAGTGAAGAATAAATACACAAGCACAAGAATGTGGGGAAAGGGGGAGGAAGCAGAGCCCAGCAGTGCTTTAGTGTTTAAATTCATTCAAGATGATCTAAAACCGGGGGAGGACAGAGGATTTGGATGCTTTGACGTAAGTCATGTGGGACACTGACTGCACTTCTGGAAAAGGCAACAATTCTGTACTGATGGAAGGGGCTGAGCAATTCAGCACTCAGCAGGGTCTGACATGGGAGCAGGGTGCACGGAGCCCTTCTGGGCTGCTCACCTGGAAGTATGCAAGTACGGCCACTAGCCTCAGGGTCCCTAACAACACATCCCATGCCTTAACCCCTGCAGCACCCGGCTGCAATGCTCAGCCTCCACCCGTCCTTGCCCTACATGCTTCCCCGCAGCTCTGCAGCCTGGAAAATGCCTTCTCTATAGAAAAACAGAGCTAGAGCAGGTCACCCAGAGGCAACACTTCACACTCCTGATCCTGAGCCACAGAAGTCACAGGAAGCACTGCTGTAAATCTCGGCATGGACCAGATCCAAACCTCACGTGCTACATGCATTTGCCACAGAAACGGGATTTTTGTACAGGGAAAGCCAACACAAGACCCAGGGGCAGGATGAGTATCGCTGTCTGCAGTATGCACACTCACAACAAAATAAATGTGTGACAGGCCAGGGGCAAAGTGCCTGTGCCTGGTGGGACCAGTGGGCTGAACAACACGATGTTGCTTTCAGCACATCATGAGCAGCGGCTGAGCCCTCCGCTGTGCCACACCACTCACATGCACGGAAAGAAAATCCCTACCCATGTGCAGAGCCACACAAATTGAAATATGTATATAATAAACAAAGAAATGAATTTAATCGAATCATCTAGGAGGCAAACTTCAAATTTGGGCCAGTTTGGGAACAGAGGATTCTGCCACATTCTGACCTTTTCCCTCCATCCAATTCTGCCATCTCTAACTGCTGCCTTGTCTCACAAAATTGCATTTTTACTCACTGTTTCTCCTGTTACTTTTTACCTTTTCTGTTGCCCACGATCACCACCTATTTCTTCACTAGCCATTGCTCACTGGAGCTCTGAAGGATATTCTTTGAAAGAAATCTGGTTTAAGTTAATACAAGGGAGTTAAGGCTATGTTTTGCTCCCATCATCAGTTGTGGTGCTTTTTATTAACACTTGCCAGCAGGCAGACTATTAGCACAGCTAATTGGAAGGAGAGACAGAGGCCTCCATCAAAGTCTCTGGTAAGAAATTCAACTTTTCTTCTTTAATTTTTTCAACTAGTATTAAAAAAAAAATAATAATTAGAGATTGCCTCTACAAAACACTTTGCTCAATCAAACCTGCAATCTTCCATTCAATTCCATCTTAGCCTTCTGGGGATGCTGTTACATCTGACAGTTTTTTGCAACTTTGAGCAGCACCCACGCGTTTTTCTCAATCAGTGCAGAGAATAAAACCCAGAGAGCCTGGAGTGCCACTGCCAGCACTTGCAGAAGGCGTGGGATGGAGCATGTTTTCTACAAAACTGCACAGAATGCTGCTTTTCTTAACCATACTCACTTAGTACAGCTCTTCACCAACCATGTTTAGCCCTGTGCAGGCCTGATTCACACCGTGATTCTGCCCTAAAGCACCCTGCTCATTTGGTACCAGCTGAGCATCTGCAGCTGCTGTGTTGCAACCAGGCTATCATGAGTGCAAGGTACTGCCTGCAGTTACAAGCTTAATCTGACCATCTTAGTACAAAATATAGTTATAATAGGCTTTTTCTTTTCTTTTTTTAAAAAAGACGCTCATCCAACTGGTGGCAGCAGGTGATGTTCTGCCATTTAATATATCAAGTCCATTAGATTACCCAACAGGAAGAAAAGATCTTAATTCTCAAGCAAAACGAGCCAGCTTTGGGAACAGAAATTGTTCATAAATGAGAGTGCAAATCTATTTGTTCAGCAAGTTAGAGAGGGGGATGAGACACTGCTGTGCCCTGATACTAACCTCCATCCGCAACCTGGCCACGTGCAAGCAAAAGGCTTTTCTCCTGTATGCCTCCTCAGGTGGGCTTTCAAATGGCTGCTTTTCGTGTACATCTTGGTACAACCAGGGAAAGAACATTTGTGCATTTTAATGAGTTCTGCTGCAGGGTTCTTTTGAAATTTCTGACCCATGATGATTCCCGTCTGACCCTGGATCATGCCTCCTGGCCCAATTGGCTTGGCAGCGATGGGGACGGGAGCAATGCGGACAAATTTAGAGGGCAAGTTCAAATTGGATGACTGAACTATCTGGGGCACAAGGGCAAACGTCTGTCCTTGGATGTTGACTAGGAGCTGTGCAATTTTAATGTTCTCCTGTGCTGGTCCTTGGGAGCTAGGGCTCGTGGTGGACTCCTGTTTGATCTGTACAGGCTGAATTTGGAGCATAACCGGTATGCCATTCTCCAGGGACACTCCTCCATTTGAAGCTTGGCCACCTTCCGTCGAGCTGTTCAACTGTTCATTTTTACTCTCTTTTAAAGTAGCACTGGGTAACATATGGTCTTTTTGCTGTAGCGAAGAAACAGAAACTTGGCTGCAAGCTCTCAAGTCCTTGGTCTCACTTTTAGGTCTTTCTTTGAGCTCCAGCTCCATGTTTTCTTCCAGAAATTCCTCAATTTCCTCAAGCGTGGGCTGAAATGGTCCAGAGTCTTCCATATCCACAGCGAATTCAGGCAACCTAAAATACTCCTCTTTCACTATGGGCTGAAGTCTCCTTTTGTCCCACCATGACACAGCGGTGTTCCCCAAAGATGCCTGGGACAGCAAGTAGTCTAAGATGCTGTCCTGACTCTCTGCACTGGATGTGCTTCCATAGCTGGAGCTGAGAACTTGGGATTCCGGGCTGGAACAAGAACAAAAGCTGGACGAGTCGCTGTCATCTTCTGACAGAGGAGAGGGCAGCATTTGGTAGGACCTCACCCCTGCTGTCATGTCCCTAAAGTATCCCAGAGAAGACCTTGTAGATGAAAAGGATTCATCAGTAGGCACCAGGTGATCCACCATTCCTGGGCGAGCTCTTACAGGTATCCCAGCAGCATATACCACGCAGCGAAGGTTCAGGTGAGAGCCTGGGTGCAAGGAAACAAACCACCAGCAGTCAGAAGTCAGTTTAATTATTCACCTCCATGAACTAAACCTCACAAAGCCCTCCAGCTTGCAGGAAGGTCCAAAGCACTCAGCCTCACCATGCACATGCTGCTGCACGCTTTGCTACGTCTGTGCCACCCCTAAAGGACTGCCAGGGCTGAACCATTCTGCAGGATTGCACCACGTACTTACAAAAGAATTCTTTCAGAAATCATTTCACAACTGCATGTGCTTCAGATTTACAGCTCCCTTCCAGAATATTACTGCCAAAAGGAAATAAATTATGGGCTCTCACCTAGCAGTGAAGCCAAGAGCCAAAGAAGGGAAGGGGAGAAGAAAAGAAAAAAAAAAATTATTGAAATTTTTACCACCCCAAAAAAACAGAAAAACAAACAAACAAAAAAAGAATTTTATTGCTGGGGTCCATAAAATGCAAATCCTTCCCTCATCTTGCAGCTTTCCATCAACCTTATTTTTAACTTCCTCCGTTCCACAAATACAGGCTAATCAGCGTAATGCAGGGATCAATCTGTCAGGAGCCAAAAATATTTACTGTGCTTCAGCATTCACTAGGCGGATTTTCCCCTCCAGATGTAATGAATCAGTGTGCCAACGTCATCATCACCTGCACTGCCCTTAACAAGGTTGGCACAGCACTGAGCTAATTACCGTGGTCAGCTGCCGGCTGCCTGCACCCCATCCTTCACATCCCATCCCTTTGGGTACGGAGATCCTGGTAACCCAACCCTTGTGCTGGGTGCTGAACTGGGAGGGCTGGAGTGGTCCCAGTTCCCCCTGCAGAAGTGGGATCCTATGGGACTGCACTGAGCCCCAACCCCATGGCACCCACACAGGCAGCACCACAGCGTGCCGACAGATGGGCACGTCCCACAGTCTCCCAGTCAAGCTAAACAAAAGGTTATTGGGAAGCAGGGAAGGCAGAAGGGGTATCTGTGGGTCTGTTGTCTTTTTTTCTTTCCTGCTTCCCAGGGAAAAGAAAGAAGTTTCTTACGGGCTGGAGCCTGTGCCCCTCGCAGTGACCGCGTCCCCCCGCACGGAGCGCACAGTGGCCCTCAGTCATCAGCTGAAGGTGACTGATTGAAAGCAGAGCCCTACGTGTGCATAATAAAACAACTCTTTCTGGGGAAGGCATGCGGCGGGCAGAGATAGAAGTCATTTGATCAGCCTATGAGGGGTGCGTGTGTGAATTAGGAGGCATGTGACCAGCGTGAAGGAAATGCCACTCAGGCTTGTTACACGCTGTCATTTTCCACAGGCTCTGCCGCTGCATTTTGGACGCTTTGCCATGAATAGTCAATAGCTCTGTGCAGGGACAAGAGCCTTCCTGCTGCTACTGAAGCCCCAGCTCCAAGATTTGCCCATCCTTGCCTCCTCTGGGGAAAAATGAAAAGCCGTATGTGTGCTCGGCAGCGAACGTGGCACACAGCACCCTCAGAGACCTCCATCCCACTGACAGCATCTATTCATATTTTGCAGGAAATAGGGGGGGAAAAAAGCCTCATTTCTTAAAGACACAGCTTCCTCCTCCATCCACACATGGAGGCTGAAAGAGCTTAGAAGCGAGCCCGCGTGTTCCCCTGGTTTGTGCAGCTCCGAACGCTCACATGTGCTGAGCGCGAGGAAGTTCACACAGAGGTTAGCGGCTCAGCCTATAACCATATCCTATAGTAAAAGTGAAGAGCCAGAAGAGCTGAAATTTGACACATGGCTCAAAGAACCAACAACAAACTGAACACTGCTGGAGGAACTCTCCGCCCGGACTGCAGCAGAGCGGTGCTGAGAGCACACAGTGTTTTTTCTAAGAAACGCTGGCGCGCTCTGAGCAGCTGGCAAGGTTTCCTTTTGCAAAAGGAAAAAGCTCAGGTTTTCTTTAAATGCCTGCAAGAGGCAGGAAGCCACGTATCAGCACAGCCCTAAACACGGGGAATAGAACTAAACCCCGGTGTGAATGAGGGCTGAAAAGAAGGAATGCCAACGGGAGCAATGAGCAGCAGAGCTGGCAGGGGACAGTCTGTGTGCGCAGTGCCACCTGCGTCTCATGAGGACGGGGACTGTCAGGATGAACACATCATGCACAGCACACACCGGGGCTGCGTTCCACGCTCCCAAAGCTCATGCAGCAGCCAAGCGGATTTTGGGGAATGCCTGGAATGCAGGATCGAGCCCAAGCTATATTTTATCCTAAAGGCCAAGCCAACAACCGAAGGCTTTCATCCCTGCTTCGTCCGAAGGCTCAGCCAAAATCAGGAGCTTCAAAAACAAAAACAAAACGCCAAGGCTACGCGAGCGATGAGAACGAATGATGGTGTTTACATAAAGCACCTCCATCCCTGACAGCAATGTGAGCACAGGCAGCTCAGCACGGGGCAGCAGCTGCTCAACTATGCAGCGCCACAGCCGCCTTCGGAGAGGTCCAAAGTGATAGGATGGCCCCCGTGCCAAAAACATGTTGTTCTGCTGAGATGTGTCCATCTAACCACCGGCTTAAAGAGCAAAATAATAATAAAGGGAGTGAGAGGGTACATTCTGTCTCACAATGACACCAAATGTTAAGCCCTGGGAATTTGCTGAGAGCTGGGGACTGTTTCCCAGTTTGTCACTTCTGGACTGTCAGCCCAGCACTGCCGATAACACAGCGCTACGTGGGCTCAGATACACTGACACTCATCTGCTATGTGTGTTGCTGCAGCTCTTTCAAGTTTAGGACTGATCCTTGCAGGATTTACCCTTGCTCCATAGGTTGTAAATCAGTGCAGGCTGCCTCCTGCCACAAAGTGAGCAGTGAATTTCTAAGATATTAAAATGGAAGTCAAAGGAAAAAAATAATAATAAAAATTATATATATATATATATGGAAGTGAATAAAATAATAATCAAAATGAGACGCCAAGAGCCAGAGAGCCCATCTGCTGCCAGCCCTGCTGCAAGGTGGCTGCACAGCTCATTGGACACTAGGGCACAACAGCACTATTTAGGGGCCTCCCTGCCTTTTTCCAACCCCACTGCTTTTGGGAAACCTCAAAACCCTCCCCAAGTCCCTATTTTCTTTCGACCACCCCTTTCACATCCAAACTTTGGCTTCCACACAAGGCAGCTGGCAGTGCCCCCCCTCCGCCCCCCCCCCACACACACCAAGTCCCCAAAACAACACATGCTAACATGGGGGGCCAAGGGGGCACAACTCACACTCCAACACCAGCACAGCCACATCTCCACCACTGCAGAGCATGTGGTTCATTGTTTTTTTTAGTGGGTTATTGGTTATGCTTGTGTCTGGGTGTTTTTCTCTTTCTTTTTTTTTTTTTTTTTTTTGGGGGGGGGGGGGGGGGAAGAGGGGGGGAAGAGGAGAGGGGTTGTTCAGTTGTTTATTTGTTTTCCCTACTTTTAATATATTATTTTTTCCTCTCTCCCCCTCCTCAAGCTGTTTTTTTCCCACCGCTGGAAAATGTGACCTTCCCGGACAGGCAGCCCCTCGCAGCCCCCCCCCCCCCCCCGCCCCACGGCGGTACCGGGGGTTCCTCTGCCGGACCGCGCACCCCTCGCACGCCCTTACCTGAACTTCTCCGCCAGCCGGCCTTCGGGGATTGCGGGGGGGGTGGGGGGGGGGGAGATGGGGGGGGGGAGAGAGGAGAGACGGGAGAAAACGCCGAGAATTCAAAAACAGCGTTGAAAACGCCCAACGCGATACCACAACGATTTACTAACAAATAAATAAATAAATAAATAGATTTTAAACCCGGAGAATCGAAAAACGGCCAAAAAATAAAATAAAATAAAATAAAATAAAATAAAAAAATCTAAAAAAAAAAAAACAAAAACAATAATCAACCACCTAACCGCCAAACGGGTGGGAAAAAAAAATAAAAAATAAAAACCAAAAAACAAAAAAACCCGCACAACTAAACCGAGGAACGAAGAAGACAGAAGACCCCCCCCCTCCGGTCCCAACAGCGCGGCGGGACGCGGAGCAGAGCGGGCGCAGCTCCCCCGGGAGGCGGCGCGCGGTGCGGCGCGGCCCCGCGGCGTAGTACTATAAACCCTCCGGCACGGCGCCGGCGGCCGCGGGGGGGCCGGGGAGAGGCTCGACCGCGTCCGCAGCCCCCATTGGCCCCGCAGCTCCGGGGGCCGGCCCATGTTCAGCCTCAATGGGAGCCGCGCATCGCACGGCCCGGCCCCCGGGGCAGGCGGTTCGCGGCCACGTGCGGATCCCCGCGGGTGTGCGAGTCCCGGGCTGTGCAAGGCTCGGGGGTGTGCAGGACCCCGGTTCTTCTCCTGCCCGTGGGAAATCGCTGCTGGCTTCTCCCCTGGAATTATTATGGTCGGTTTAATGTACGCATATAAATTACTAGTTTTATATGTGCACAGTATTGTTTGTGTATCTGTATACACATACATATGCACAAACATATATATACAACACATATGTATATATACACACACATATAGGCAAACATATCGTCATACATATGTGTATACAATATGTATGTGTATATATACATATATATACACACAATACTGTGTCTGTGCATTGTCTACACACATGTATGTATATACACTAGTTATATACATATATATATGTGTGTGGATATAAAATCATAGAACGGCATAAAGATCATCCAATTCACACAGCATCACACAGAATCATAGAATCACCAAGGATAGAAAAGATCTCCAAGATCATCCGGTCCAACCATCCATCACCAGTATCACCCACCAAACCACATCCCTCAGTACAACATCTAAATGTTTCTTCACACCTCCACCACCTCCCTGTGCAGCCTGTACCAGCACCTGACCACTTTTTCAGAGGAGGAAATTTTCCTAATATCCAACCTGAACCTCCCCAGGAGCAGCTTAAGGCCATTACCTTGTTTAATCACTATTAACAGGGAGCAGAGGCCGACTCCTGCCTTGCTACAACCTCCTTTCAGTAGAGAGCAATGAGGTTTCCCCTGAGCCTCCTCCACTCTGAACCATCCCAGCTCCCTCAGCCGCTCCCCATCAGATTTGTGCTCCAGACCCCTCACAGCCCCGTTGCCCTTCCCTGAATACATTCCAGGACCTCAATGTCCTTCTTGTACTGAGTGAACCCCTCAGTAGTCAACTGAACATAGTACTCAATCCCAATCCCTCTGCAAAGGGCACACTATTTATATATGTTATATACACATTTCTAAGTTACATGTCGTACATATGTGGGCTCAACACGCCACCATTCATTCGCTGTGTCTGTTGCTGCAGCTCTTGCTTGTTTAGGACCAATCTCTTCAGGGTTTTCTCCTGTTCAGTGGAAGATTTTAAATCAGTTCATCGGTGGTTTTTCAAGTTCCGTTTATATGTTTCCAACCCTGGAAAGGCCCAGGCCACGCTACCAGAAGACAGCCTCATGGCAGCAAACCTGTACAACTTTCTGAGATCCCCATTAGGAAAAAATTGGATATTAGGAACAATTTCTCCTCTGAAGGAGTTGAGATGCACTGGCAGAGGCAGCCCAGGGAGGTGATGGAGTCACTGCCCCTGTAAGTGTTCAAGAAATGTGGAGATGTGGCACTGAGGGATGTGGTTATGGGCATGGTGGTGGCGGGTTGGGGTTGGACTTGGACATCTTAGAGGTCTTTTCCAGCCTTAACAGTTCTATGATTCTGCTGCTCCAGGACGATGGGCTTCGGAGATGACTCGACGGTGCCCGGGCAGCCCCCATAGCTGCAGACCTGGGGAGCAACAGAAGCTGGACTGGGTGGGGGAAGGAAGCCCTGGGGGGTCACAGAAATGGTTTGGAAGGGGTACTGAGGGATGGGAGGGCTTTGTGCCTTCTCTTCCCCCCGGGGAAGTGAAGTTTAGCTTGATGCAATGCAAAGGCATTAGATTGAGAAATTCTGATACAGCTAAAATCCCAGACCCTTAAGATTGAGCTTATTGGAATCAGAACTGCTTGCTTGTTCAGACAGGGAATTACCTTAGAATGTTTAGTACCATGGAAACAAACAAAATTTACAACCTTGATTTTACTATTATGACCTAAATATGCACTGGGACACATTAGAGGTCTAAATTTTGGACAACTTCTTTAGATTTAAGTTCCAGTAAATTCCAGCTTTCTACTTCAGAAGAGGGAGGAAAATCACATATTTACTCACGTGCAAGTAAAACAGTGCACGCCCCAGTTCTGCTTTTCAAGCTGCTTTCACTTCACAAGGCCAAATCCTTTCCGTTTCCCCACCAGCACCATGCCGGGCTGGCTGCATTCTGTTGTTACACAAAAGCTGAAGTGTGCAGAGGGCTCTGGCAGACCCAGATGCGTGCAGCTGCTGAGATGAGATGTCCATCCACCTTTCCTTGTGCCAGTGTACAGCTGCACGCAGAGGCAGTGGAGGGACCCGTGGCTTTACCTGCTATGGACGAGTCACTTTGAGGGATGGGTTGAAACCTGTTAAACCAGGTAACAAACTGGTGAGGCTCAGCCCAACTGTGCTGGTTCATAGGATGAGTAACTTCAGCCACAGTGCAGAACCCTGCAGAGCACTGTATCCATTTAATACTAGGCAATAGCAATCACTAGGAAGCAAAATGCAATGGAAATGAGCACACGTGTAACTAGGGGTTCTGTAGTTCTCCAAGATTTTCCTGGGGAAAAAAAAATATGCAAGTAGGCAACACACAGAGAAAATGAGTCCCCAGCATCCAGGATGAGCCTCTGACTTGAGCTTGCTTGTGCACTGTGTGACACGTTCTGGATGCATCAACATTCTTACACGTGTGCAGGTGCCCTCTGCCACACGCGTGGGATTTGCTGTGCTGGGAAACTCCTTGCGCATCTGTGTGGTGCCTATGGGACCTCTGGGTGTCCAGCAGTCTTGCAGATGTTCCTGCTCTGACCAGGCTACTTGGCAGCAGGACATCCTGGACAAACATCCAAAGTCCGTTTTTTCTGCCCAGGCATAAATTCTAGACAGACAAAGGACACACTGAAACCAAACAAATACAATATACGACAGCATGAGTTCTGAGGTTTAATTTCAGCATAAAGAATTTCACTCCTGTGCAAACTCACTACAGTGCAACAGAAAATAACGAGAAAAAATGCTCAAGTTGGTGTTGCTTGGAGCCCAGATCTGAGGTCATCCTTTGTGGAGGATGTCCACAGCTTCATCCTCTACAGCACCTTTTCTGAGCTGAGATTTTATCTGAGGAGTTTTCTTTCCCAGGATGATCACACTGAGGTTGTCGTGTGGCCTCAACCCACAGCCATGGTTCTGGGGTCCATAGATGCACTTCTGGGCGTAAACCAAAGTTGAGATTTACATGCGACAATGGCAATGCCATGCACCTCTCAAGCTGTGAACTGATCTTTTGATCGATTCCTTGAAGCCCCATGACAGTGAAAGCAATTGGCACATAGCTGAGCTTTGCTCTTGGTGTCGGAATCCCTGTGAGGTTTTGCTTAACAGCAGAAGAAATGCACATATCTCCATCAATACAATGACTTCTGGTCACTTCTGACTGCCAACTCTTGGTGCAATGACTGCTGGCCTGGGGCAGGCTGTCAGGTCAGGGTTAGAGAGATCCATGCTGCTGTCACCAATGGCTTTGGATCAGCTTTCTTCTGCTCAATGGCTTCATTTGGTACTGCAGCAAAACTGACCCCTGCTCCATGCTGTAAGATGCATTTGTCCTCTCGCCATCTCACACCTTTTGTGCATTAAGACACTTCCTTCCCTGTTCATCTCTTCACCAAGAGTCCTTTTAAAATCTGTTTACCTCTGTCCTTTGATCCTGCCTGGGGATTTTCCATTTTCTCTTTGCCACCTTTCAGGAGGGAATTTCGGTCAGACTGGTTCTCCTGCTCAGACAGCCTCTGTGGCATTCCTCTGCTCAACAAATGCAGGGCCGAGGTGAGGTTAAGGGACTTTTCATTGTCCTTTGTCTCATAACTGTGTGCTAAAGATCCACTCAGGAAAGGCAAACACAGCTCAGCATTGGAGCCTTTTAACATTTTCCTGGAGATAATAATAGCACAGCATTATCAAGTCAAAAAAGAAACTGCAGGCTGATGTTGATCCCAAGCTGTTATGCACAAAACTGATAAAGGTGGGAGAAGGAATGTCGGCCCACACATTGCCTTCCCATCTGTGGCTGTCCCAAGGCTCATTTTTCCTGCCTCAAGTTTTCCCATCCTCTGTAAGTTGCTCAGTATTGTGTTACAAATGACTTCCCGTTTCTGAGTAGGGTGGAAGGAAAGGAAGATTTGAAGATGGGCAAAAGGAGAGATTGTGCCGCACAGGTAAGCACTGTGCTGCCTTAGAGGTCACCTGCTGTAGTTCTGCACCAGCAAACCGTTAGTAATGAGGCAAGCACACTTGGCAGAACAAGGGTTAGTCGGGCTGCATTGATTGCTTGCACACTTCTATGTACAGATTGACGTTGCTCTTTTCCAATGAGAGAAACAAAAATAATCAGGAGAAAAAAAATTGAGGACTTCAATCCGTCAACAGATGGATCTCACTTAATGCCACAACACAGTGCCTGGACCCCGCTGTCCTGCATCTTTCAGCCCCATTGCAGGGAGCAAGGGGAGCACCCAAGCCTGTCAAAGTGCAGTAGCACTGTGAGCACTTTAACTCAGCAGTCCTTGACATTCACAGATAAGGACTGCAAGTTCTTTTGGTACTACAGAAATATTGACACAAAGAATATGTTTATCCCTGACTGTGGTTCTGCAGGACAAGGTGGAAATGGCAACAGCAATCTCAGGGCTTAATTTCTTTGGCCTTGCAAGGGCATCTCTGCTGCAGAGACAGCAATTCATTGATTCCTCTTTTCCTTTAACTAGTTTGGAAATTATGTTTTCTTTTTAAGTCAGAATTATAGGTCTAGAGGGAGATAAGATAGAAGAAACTCATTCTAGGCTTTTTTTTTTTTTTTTTTTTTTTTTAATGTTAATGCTCTTTGGAATATTAAAGACAGTGGGGAGCTGAGCAGAGTTTCTGATTTTCTCCCAAACTTTCTGTTCATTAAGATACTGAGAGAGAACATTAGCTGACTTCTGGCTGTTATTTTCCCAGGCTATGTTTAACTAGGTCCACTTCCAAACTTGGCCTTCTATGCAGACCTGCATTTTAATATATGGTCAAACACACCTAAGAGAAGTGCTACACCCACTGATATGCTGAATGGGCCAGGTAGTCAGACCACCTCCTGCAGCTCCTAGAGGTTCCAGAGCAAGCAGAGCAGCCCGGTTCAAGTTGTCCCTCCTGAAGATGGCTCAGGAACAGGCAGGTCTGTCAATGTGACAAAATCCACTGATTCACTTTGAGATTCAGCACCTACCTCTACTGCGTTTAAAAAACCAAAATAGACTGGAGGACGTACAGGAAGATCTGGGCCATGAGTAATCCTGGCTGTGGTTCAGGAGCAGATCTGCAATAAGCTGTATTCCCCTGCCCTCTCCTGGAAGGAATACGCAGAGCTGGGTGTGTTTGTGCAGGATCCTTGTGCTAGGGACTCTGGGCAGCAGATTGAGGTGGTGAGAGAAGATGGTCATTTTGAAGACAGTGTTTAGAAAAATGAAAAACAATGGCTGTGTTGTATCCATCATGTGTTGCCAACACCGAGTCTGCCAGAAATTGGCACATCTCTCAAAAGAATGTGAATGTTCTCAAGGAAGAGCTGCCCTGCCTGTCCGTTTGCATTGAATTGGGAAACCAAGAAGATGACCCAACCAGCAGAATCCAGAGCCTCTCCCTCACCTTAAATAGTAAACACAAAGCCTGCACAAAAACACTGGTAACCTTCGCTCAGGTCACAGGAGTGACAGGTCAGAAATGCAACACTGACACGGGACAAGTGCAAAAAGGCACATGAGAGCCCATCACTCGGCCAAGAACATGGTGAGAGCCCAGCAAGGAGATTCTTCTTTGTCCCAAACACCAAACATCCAAAGCAACACTAGTCTTGTTTTAGGAAGAGGACTGGTTAGGAAATTGCTGCTGTTAAGATAATAAGGGGAGCAGTGAACCACAAAAGAGGAGTGTGGTCAGCCTGTAAGTAAGACTATAGTTCAATAGTTGCAGTGTAGGATTATGAAACAGGAGCTCTGGAAGGACAGAACCAACCTCATGTGCACTATTTAACCTCAAAAATTTTCTCACACTTTGAGTTTTCTTTGTCCTTATGCTTCACCATGTCCTTGTAAGCCCAGCAACATGGCAGGCAAAACTCCTCCACCGTGTCATAGAATCATGCACACACTGGAAAAGACCAGTAAGATTACTATGCCCAAATGTCAACCCATCCCCACCATACAACTAGCCACGTTCCTCAGTGCCACATCTTCAAGTTGCTTGAACACCTCCAGGGACAGCGACTCCACCACTTCCCTGGGCAGCCTGTTACCATGCTTTCTGCAAGAAAGTTTTCCTAATTCCCAAACTGAACCTCCCCTTGGTGCAACTTAAGGCCATCATCAAGAGCTGAGTCCCCTCCATGTTGCTGAGGTGCTGCTCAACACAGGAGAAAGTGACACCATGCTCTGCAGAGAGACCATGAGTGAGTACTTGTGGGTAGGGGGGGGCTTCATCTTTCAAACCTTGGCAGTTCTCTCTGTTTTTCATGTTGGGGAATCACTGAAGACCATGTCAGACATCACATAGTACCCCAATAAGTTCCACAAGTGGGTTCTTTTCCCACAAAGCCTGCTTGCTGGGTTTGCAGTATGTTCAGGACATTTATCTGCCATCCCCCCCCCCCCACCATCTTATCAAAGAGATGAAATCAACGAAGCAGTTCCCGCTGCCTTGAGAGACATCTCCTATTTCCTGCTTCAGCACAGGGGTTAAGAACAACGTTTCTGTTCATCACAGAAATAAACATTAAATGAATGTTGAGTTATATCCCTCTTGTGACTAATGTTCTAGCTTGTTTTCTAACATTAATTCTTCATATACTTTTTTTTCCCTCTTACATTTGTCCAGACTCCTGTGTTCCTGGGGGAATAATTACCCACTCAGCAGTTACTCTGAAGTCCAATTGTAATAGTTGGCAAACCTCCATCCTTTCATGCAAGCTTTCAAAATAATACTTTAGCTTATTTCAAATAGCACCACTCTCTGGAACTTCTTCCCAATTTGCTTTGCCTTGGATTGATATTCATTTCACTGCTTGTTGAGAGCTGACCGCTTTGCTTGTCACAAGGCAGATATTCTCAACAGAACAATTACAAACAAACAAAAAACAGAACAGAGGGAAGGCGTGTTTAAAAATGATCCATTGTGATGTAATGGTCTATTTCCTCATCTAATGAATCCTTACTAGGAATGTAAGCAATGAAGAAAACACTGATTCAAACCTGGATTATAATTCACCAAAATACAGATGTGATCATAGCAAGTATTTTCATTCACACCAACCTTGGAGTTGTCAGAAAGTTTGGGTAAATTTTAGTCATGTGTTCTGTGACCTAAAAATGTGCATTTTCTTATTCTCTAGGGACTTGGGGACAAAACATTCACTGTACTGGCATAATAAGAAATAACTGAGAGCTGAATTCAGATCACTGGTATATACTTTTTCCTATAAACACTGCTTGGGAGGAAACCGCGTCCTTTCCCAACTGTGCTACTATTTAATTTATGTCTATATGACCAGAAGCAACCCACCTCATCTCCTTTCTCTCCGTTTTTTCCATCTGTTCCCTGAGGATAATAGTCTTGGCACTGTATGATACTGAGCAAACTGATGTTCAAAAATTGCATTTAGGTTGTCTGGTGAAGGAAATATAGCAAAAAGTTGATGACAAAGCCTTGTCTTCGGGACACTTGAGCTGTTCCAATGTCATGGGGAGTGTGGCAGATCCTGGAAGGAAAACCTGGAATCAATGAATGGGAGAGAAGAGCACATCATATTTAACTATTTCACTCTTCCTTAACTCTACTTAATGACATGCTAACTCAGTTTTTTCCTAAAATAAAGAGAGATGGCTCTAAACCTTTGAACATCATCCAGTGTTTGACCAAGTGTCTGCATTTTATTTTTCTTTTGGCCTAAGCCTGTTTTAATTGTGAGTATTTCATGAACCAGTGGATGCAGTAGGGCTCGTCTGGATAGCACGACAGCTCCTGTCACTCAAACAAGCATCACCTCCATTTTTACAGTTAAGCATTGATCACGGTAACTTGTCAGGCTTAGCTAAACTTCACTACTGTAATTCCCTTTTGCAAGCAAATTCCTGTCTTGATATCACAGCTAAGGTAAATACAGACAAGTTTCTGCTCTGCAAAGTATCACGGTGCCAGCCTACTCACAACTTTGCTAGGGTGACCAGTCAAGAACACTGACTTCGCTTTTACTCCAGAAATAAGAGAGTTATCACTGATCTGAGAGGACGGAAAAAAGGCTGGTTCTAAGACATCATTTTTCTCTTTTAGCGTGCAAAGTCAATTATAATCACAAGTGTATGTTGTTTGCAGCAACCAGCACTAACCAGGAATTTCACTGCTTGGCACAGAAGAGGATGAAGAAATCAATTGCAAACTCTGTGTCTTTATCAAAATCGATCCTGTAATTAAATATTTACCTTCAAGACTTGTCCAGCACAAAATTACTTTTTTTTTTTAAAGGATGATATCCTTCCCTCTGCTCTACATGCTAAAATCAATGTACATGGATTACTTAAACCCTACCAAATTTTACTCTCTTTTTCTTTTTATACAGTTTTAAATCTTCCAGTGTCTTTACTTCATGAACTCTCATAAATGCTTCTGCTAACATTTCAGGTCACCTCTCTGTTACTTTCCCATTCCCCTTGCTGCTTTTGCCCCATGCCCAGCTTCTGCTGAACAGCACTAATTCTGCTGAAGGAGAGGACACTGCACTGCCACAGTCACACTGGAAATCCTGTTGGACTTTAAACCTGGAAAACTCAAGCATTTCCAAAATCTTGGGAGCCGTTCTTAATCTGTCAGCATCTTTTTGGGAACGATCTAAGAACTGCCTGGGCATTCATAGGAAAACTGAAACTGTCAGATGTTCTTTCCTTCCTCCTGACCTATGTGCAGAGTTGTCAAGATGGACTGTTGCTTGGGCCAGCACACAGCCAAACAGTTGAATTAGAAGCGTCATCTCAACAACTTAAGGTTGGAATCAGCCCATTTCAACCCAGGCCTGGCAGGTGAGCACCGTCAGCAATGCTGTACCAGGTCTGGCAAAGGGCTGGCGAGACATAAGCAGTGCCAAGTCACAGCAGATCCCCTCCTACAGAGCAGCTCCACGTGTTTCACAACTTGCCTGTCCTGCTGTAGCCCCTGGGGTGCTGTGGGTTGATGGGATGGAGGTCTGTAACACCTGCTCAGGTGCACATTCAGGTCTTACCCCTCCCCACAGCACCCTGCTGCAAACAGCTGTATATGCACCACCCTGATTTCACCGTGGTTGAATGCCAGTTGAGGCTGCTGCTTTATCTGTCTGCCTTCAGGAGAGCTCAACAGCAAGTGTTCACAGCAGCTGCTAGTAGATAACATGTTCATGTTCTTTCCATCACTGCCACAGGGATGAGTACCATGCTTTACTGGCACCCTCTGTGGTGCTTGCTACTGAGGCTCCATGGCATCTGCTTTTGCTAGCCTGAGCTCCAGGCACAGGAAAGGCTGCACATCTGCTGGAGTTTTATCCCAGCCATAGGTTGAAACACAAGGGTGCTCCTTTTTAAAGCAAATTCCATTTGCTTCCAGTCTGGAACTGCAATTCTGTGCAGGGAAGGGCCAGGTGTGCAAGTTGATATCCAGCGTGCAAAGGTGGAAGCAGTGTGGCCTCCAGAAAAGCTGCAGCAGCAGCCCAGTGCCAGACTGAGGTACAGTATTGCAGCCTTTGACGTCATTCCAGCACAATCAGACTCCGGCGTCTGTTGGATAGGACATTGCACACAGTCCCCCCTCCCTGAGAACTCATTGTGCAACACCGAAACAGATTTCACTGAGGAATGAAGCCCAGCTCTGCCCTGCAGAGAATTGGCTCAGCACTGCCAGGATCAGGCCTTAACTGCACAGAAATAGATTAGATCGGTGTCAGGCTGCTCAGAAAGCTGTATGATTATTTGTCCTCAGGCAAAAACATTTTAAAATATAGAGGGGACACCAGCATGCAGCAGCAAAATGATGGATGCAAGAGCTGTGTGCCCTCCCAAGCTGAGCTGTTTGCATGAGGCAGAAGGAGAAGATTTGAACGCCACTTCAATTTGTTGCTAGGACAGTGCTCACTGCAATTGGGCTTGGGCAAAAAAAAGTAAAAGTTACCAAAATCTGGGAGGCATATAGGATAGAATCATAAAATCATAAAGGTTGAAGAAGACCACTAAGACCATCCAGTCCAACCATCAAACCGTCACCATCAATATAGCCCACCAGACTGTGTCCCTCAGCGCCACATCTCCGTGGTTACTGAGCACCTCCAGGGACGGTGACTCCACCGCTCCTGGGCAGCCTGTGCCAATGCATCACACTCCTTCTGAGAAGAATTTCTTCCTAATATCCAACCTAAACCTCCCCTGGTGCAACTTAAGGCCACCTCTGCGTATTGCTGTTACCCAGAAGCAGAGGCTAATTGCCACCTCACCATAACCCCTTTCAAGAGCTGTAGAGAGCAGTAAGGTCTCCGCTAAGACTCCTATTCCCCAGACTGAACCGTCCCAGTTCCCTCAGCCACTCATGTCATCAGTCAGAATAAGTGCTTGGAGATGTTTATGTCTTTTCTGGGATAAAGGAATCAAGGGACATTGACGGGGAAGCCAAAAGACGATTATATTTTGGGGCAGGGGGTGGGAGAAATCAGAGCATAAGGTGCAAAAGGCACAGGAAGAACTTGACACAGGCAGGAGCAAAAAAGGCCTTAGGGCTCCCAGGCAGCTCCATTGGAGCAAATGGCTCAATATTGAACTGGGGCATGGGCTGCCACCTCCAAGGAGAAGGCTGAGGGCTGGCAGTTCCATCCAGCCAAGAGAAATGAGCAGCAAAGGGGCCTCTGGCCTGGAGGATGGAGCAGCAGCAGGGCGGGCTGTGCTGCACGGGTGAGGCACAGTGCTGGAAGTGGGGATGGAGAGGTGTCCCAGCCCTCAAAGCTCAGTGAGTGAGACAAGTCCTCATAAAAACATGAGCCAGAAGGAAAGTTTCAGCAACCCAAAAGAAGAGGTGCGGGAAAGAATAAAAATGCTGAGAAGTCACCTCAAGCAGAGGCTCCTGAGCCACATTGGAAGGCAGCCACCGCATGGGACAGGGCCAGGCAGGGAACTTGGCACTTCTCAGCCCTCTCTGGAGCCCGCTGAGACAGTAGACAAAAAGTTTTGTCAGCTCAATTACTGCAGCCTCCTCCTCCCTCTTCCCCACCTTCAAGAGGAAGATGTGCCAGGAGCTTCTCTGGCTGGCTACAGGGCCACGTGCCTGCAGAGAAGCCATGTGGGCTGCTCCAAGGGGCCACAGTGAGCAACTGCATGCTGATGGAGCTGCAGGGTTCACCTCTGAAAAGAGAATGCACTGTGACCCACAGTGCGCAAAGTCCCAGATCTAACACAGCATATGAGGCATGGAAGGTAGATCAGTCAAACTGCTGCAGTTCTCACTGGGCTGATCCTAAACAACTTGAGACCTTCACTTAAGAACTGGGCTCTGTTCCTCCTGCTGCAACAAAACATGGATATATTGCAGTGGTGAAACTGCTTGCTTCACACTTTACCATTGCCAAAGACAGAAGATGATTTACAAGATGCTAGGAAAAGCATCAAGAAAATAAACAAGAGACTTCAACTAGCTCTTGAGAATGGCTTAGCCATAGCTCAGGCTCAGTAAGCACTGAAAAGTCTACATGAAACCAAATATGAGGATAACAGAAATCTAAGCATTCTTACAAGAGCATTTCCCACAGCCAGCACTGATCCGAGCAGCTTTAACAAGCTTCATTAAATTAAATTTGGGAAGCTTGCAAAGGGGTACTGGCCAGAGGGGCTGGATCTGAAGGACAGGCACCAGCTGGCTTTCACTGCAGGGTACAGCCTTGGGATCAGCAAACTTCAGTCTGTGTAACACGTGGCAGGCCACTGCAGAGCATGCAGCACAGCAAGCACTTGCAGGCTCTTCTCCATGCCTGGATAGTGTCCTGCTGCGTTCCTATAATTTGAATGTTAGCTGCTGTATCAAGATGTTTCCCAGTGAGACAGAGGCTGCCAGCCTGAGCCTGAACCAAAGCTGCTCCAAAAAGTCGTGATTTACTTTGGACACGCTGCTGCTGGCAGGGGGAAAAGTGATGGGAAAGCAGAGAGCTCACCGAGCTGCTCCTCTAGCACCAGCTGAGCAGAGCCAACATTTCACAACCCCTGGGGAGATGGATGGGAAGGGAAACCATTTCAGTGGGCACCTGAATGCAATCAAGCCTCTTCAGCAACAGAAACGACTGTCATCCCTGTGCCGTGCCTCAGCCTTCCAGCGTTGCAAAATCCCTCCTCATGTTATATGCAGGCAGTAGGGTTTCTAATTTAGAAGCTGCGCTGGAACAAGAACAGAAGAGGCATTCAGGGGTAAGGGTTTCATCTGGCACAAATCTGCAGTCACCAGCGAGATTGCTGCTGTACCTGAAAGCAGCTCCCACCAGAAGCTCTGAGCACCACTGCTCCCATTCCCTCAATGACAAGTCCACCCTCTATCTCCGGTATGGCCATTTAGATGTAGCAGCTGCTAGGTTCAACTCAAGGAGAGATCACAAAACCTGTGGAGGAGCAGCCCTCAGCCCAAAGGCAGCAATGCTGGTGCTTGCTCCAGGCAGCCCAGCTGTGCTTAGCACACGGTGCTGATAAGGAGAGATGCTGGTGCAATGTGGGAAGTAAGG